GGTGGGAAAGTGTCAACTTTTTATGTGTGTAAGGTAATATTTTGAACTGAGCATCTAGCTTCATTTTTTTTCTTTTGAAACTTCATTTGCAAGTTTATGTTTAGCTATAAAATGTTCTCTACATTAGTTTGAAAATTATAGCTATTTGTTATTTCAACTGGATGTATTTTTGTTGAAAAGAATGGCAGATTGCCTGGACTGCATCTCTTAAGTGTCCACAGTTACAAGCCTCTTTTGCACGTTCAGCTTGACTCCTAGGTATTACAACATAGAGCAAATGAAATTTACTAGGAGCATTCCTAAACTCTTCTTTCTGCTCCTCCTCTAAGCCCTCTTATAGGATAATTTATTCCTTCACAACGAAGAAATTTTAGTAAAGGGTAAGACCAATGATGAGTATTAAGGAGACTTTTGTATAAATAGTTTAAGTCCTCTAGACTTGATAGCAGTGCCTACAGAAAGAAGATGGAGAAAAGCGGGTGGTGACTAGTGGTTGGCCACGTGGTTTTAAAATCTCTGTTAGCGTTGCCAGCCCCAACCCTATCCTTGTGAAGGAAAGAAAATCAACTCAAACCCCAAAGAATGCTGAATGTCTGAAGCTTCTAAGAAAGCCTTTCTGATTAGCCATAGCAAGGGTTTATACTTAGCCGACTTACTGAAGGAAACCTCCCAGGGTTGATGATGTTTTCTGTATGTCAAGAAGGGGAAATCTAGTCTATAAAGGTTACACAAAATATTTCTGAAAAGTGAATAACCCGATTGAGGTTCAGCTAAAGTGAAATAAAACTGTAATTTATTTTTTATTTTCTGAGCCTTTGCATAGAAAATGAAAAGGCAGAATTGGATTATATCATCATTTTTTGTGTTAGAGCAGCCTTTGTTAGTAAATTCTGTCTCATGATTATAATTTTATAATGCAAATAAGATCAGAGACTGGTTTTGTAAAGCTAACTTCAGTTTTCATTTAGAGTTGACATAGATTTAGTGCGTAGAATTTAGGCTTGCCCAAAACATTAATGTTTCATTTTACACAGCATTAGTGCATAACAAAGATGGGTGACTTTGGTAGTTCTCATGCTCTTTTCTTTTTCTTTTCTTTTTGTGCTTATAATTGTTTTGCACTTAATATTCAGTGTTTGCAGTAGTTTACTGTCCATGAGTAGAAATAAAGCTTTACATAGCAATCCTTATGATGGTTTTGTTCCTAGTAGAATACGAACGTTAGTTAACCAATTTTAGAAAGTAAGAGTTTAATTGTCTTTTGCCCTAATTATCTGGAAACGTGTTATACTCTATTTCTTTAACTGATGTTTATCAGCAAACATTTTATTTCTTCTATATTTGCTAAATAAGCCTCATTACATAGTAAGGCTAGATGTGATTTCCTTGTAATGTAATGCAGATATGTGACTTAAAATTAGTTAGCGGTATTGTCCTTTTAAATAATTTTGCTGACAGTTCTGGGCATGGGACATTTAATGCAGCTAATAAATGTAAGCAGGTTACTGTCTGAAAGACTACAGCTGACTGTACATTGCAAGTAGTATATAAGATCTTGAGGGCTGTTGGGATATACACCGCTGAAACATATTCCTGGAAGTCACCTGTTGAGCTTTGGAAGGTTTGGTAGTAATGATGCATTAATTGACTTTTTACATGACAGAGTAATAGGATACTTCGATCTAAAAAAAAATCATGACAGAGGTTTGGTAGACAGTGAGTTGTGGTTTATAGAAACACGATTAGGAAGAAATTCTTTGAATCTTATTTGAAGGATAAGGAAAAAGCAGAGGTGGGTTGTATGTTAGAAGTGGTTTGGATTTTTGAAAGTCATAGTCATTTATAGTTTAAGTAGAAATGTGCAGTGTCTGTTTTTACTAAGAAATGAACTGTTACATAGCAAGCATTAACAGGAGCTTCATCATGGCGTACTTATCTGCACTCCCAGTTCCTCCCCCGCTTCATCCTAAGCTCTTTGATGTTCTTGGAAAAATGTTTTAAAAAAACCGAAAGGTTTTTAATGTGGAAATCATTTAATCTTTTGTTTGTTGAAAGGAAATGTAACAGCCCTTTTCTGGTTTTGTTACTTGTTTCTGGTTTGCTTTGTGAAATGCTGTTAGTGAGCACAATTACAGAATTTGAAGGACAAGTATTAGCTATATCTATGCCAGTGAGTGTCCTTTGGCTCTAGTATGATTTAGAAGGAATCTCTCCTTGGAATTAGTTTCATCATAGTTGATTATTTATTTGTTCTATTCTTAGCTGATTGTGGTTTGTTAGGTATTTCAGTTTTCATTAACATTTGTTTAATGGAAGGTTGTTTAAAACTTGGATCACAGCAGTAAAATCTTTTGACTTGGTTTCCAAATTGCACATAACGCTTGGGCTTTTGGAAATAATTTTATTTGATGTAAAAGTGATTGGGCACAGGTTGTAGAATGATAAAAATAAATTTGATATTCTTTTCGCTTATTCATTGCACAGGCAGATTGACTTAAACTTTATTTTGATAAAAGAAGCCGTGATTTTATATGTTCTAGAATCTGTTTCTATTTATCAGAAACAATCACTTACACTAAGTCTCATAATTGAATGGTGTATACTTTTAAAATTGTGTTTCACATTCTCAAACCTTAAGAATACACTTAATTTTTAGTATATAAAATTTTTCCTGAGGTATTCTGTCCTGGCCAAAGACCACAATAGAGGTCTTGATTGTGTGGTTTCCTCCTCCTTTTTCCCTTCACTAACAGAGGTTTTCCTATCTTGGCAGCTGTTTCCTACAAGGCAGTCATCAGTCCCTGATTTCTTCCTTCCTCTTTCTTCCCACAAACAAGGCCTCTTTTAAAAAGCGGATGACTGAAGACAGACTGATCTTGGATCACTTTAAGAAAGTGGAAACGTGTGCAAGAGTTGAGCATGTGGGGAGGCTGCCTGTAGGCACTAGCTCGTTGAAATCAGAGTACCCATTATTACAACAAAAACTTGGACAGTAGAAACTCTTTGCTTGAAATCCAGAGCGGTCCAAAGGCTGACTTAATTTTACTTGTAGCAGTAATGCACTTCATCTGCACATTTAAATTACTCTGATTGCTTGATCAGATCATTGAACAGACTGTACTAATATAAGAAATTGTTCATTGATGGCCTTTGGAATGTGACAAGCCATGAGATTATCTGACTTTTAAAAATGCTTTATGTTGAATAACTTTCAGTTTTAAGGCAGCAGCATTGCTATAGCAGTTGTAAAGTACAGGTTCACTTTTAGTTTTGGCTGCTTTTGAATAGTCTGTGGGAGCTCAGAGTGAAAAATGTACAGAGCCAGCCAGCTAGTTTTGCAGAGTTGTGTGCCATATGTCTCCATCAGATTAATTTTTGATACATTATTCTTCTTTTTGAGGAAGTTTGCATTTTCCTTTGTTGTGTATGATTTTTTTCTTTGGACAGATAAGCATCTGAGGTGTTTTCTTAAATGGCGTAATACTCCCCCTCCCCCATGTCTTCAGTGCTTTCAGAGAGAGCTAAAATTTGGGCTAATTCTGGGTCATAAAGAGATCTTTAGGAAAGCATTTATGTCTCTGAAATTATGGGCCTGAATGATTTCAGATTAATTTCTTATATTATTTTGGTTGTATTCTTAGTAAAGCAAGATAGTACCTTTATAGACAGTAAGTGTTTCAAACCATTTAACATCTGCCTGCTTTTCCATTCAAGTTGCATTATAATGAACTGATCGTAGACTGTAGTGTTCTGCTAATAGCATCTCATATGATACGCTACATGAAGCATGTAGTAAATGCACAGTAGGTCAGATAATGTGCAAGAGCTCAAGTTACCAGGAAAATTTTGTTTTCTAAAGTTTCTCCATGCTTTAGTGACAGCATCAAAATGATGTAATGAGTTGGTTTTATTGAGTTATACACACAACTTCAGAAAGGGAGGGAAGAGTTTCCTCACTGCTGCACTTTATAAAACTTTTTAGTTGCATTGCAGCAGGGTAAGGACGACTAGAGAAAACTTGGTAAGAGTATTACTTAGAAGAAAATAATAGGAAACAAACATGAAGAGAACTGTAAGATGTTCCTTTAGCAGAAAAGTTTATAATTTCTTTTTTTTTTTTTTTGAGATGGAGTTTCGCTCTCGTTGCCCAGGCTGGAGTGCAATGGTATGATCTTGGCTCACTGCAACCTCTGCCTCCTGGGTTCAAGCAATTCTCCTGCCTCAGCCTCCCGAGCAGCTAAGATCACAGGCATGTGCCACCACGCCTGGCTAATTTCGTATTTTTAGTAGAGATGGGGTTTCACCATGTTGCCCAGGCTGGTCTTGAACTCCTGACCTCAGGTGATCCACCTGCTTCGGCCTCCCAAAGTGCTAGAATTACAGGCATGAGCCACCACACCCGGCCAAAGCTTGTAATTTCTTTTCCCTCAGAGGCTAAATCAGGAGGCTGGACATATATTTGGGAAATGCCTTCATTTTATGTGTATTATAAGCCCAATGTTTGCTGTGATTCTTCACACAACCCTAGAAAGGAGTAAAACACTTGGGGACAGAACCCAGCAAATGACCTGATCTCATGTGATCTTAGGAGCTGAGAAACACGAAGTCACACTCCTGAAGTTTTTGTATATTCTCCAGTTTGGAGAACTAGATCCATAAGGGCTACGAATACTTAGCAGTAAGGGAAATAACAGTCCAATTTGGTGTTTAGAAATGTGGCATTTTCAGAATCCCTTTGTATATAGAATTATTTTTCCATGTACAAATTTTGGCAATTTGTCAAAAAGGCAGTCAGCCCTTTTTGGGCTTTGACTGTTTTCAGAATGTAAGCTTCAGATATCCAGTATATAGGAGCAGTTTCCATATAGGATATAAAATCAAAATATGTTTTATATTTAGGAGAGGGAGGGAGGAACAGAGATAATTGTCATTTCTGCATTTGTGTTTGTGTGTGTTGCAGAAAGACCATAGAGTAAATGATGGATTTGTTTGTTTTTCAGATATGAAGATCAATGATGCAGCCTGCTGGTTTTGATGAAGCTGGGCATTTATAACTAGATTCATTAAGGAATACAAAGAAAATATTTAAAGGGATCAATAATGGTGTCTTCTGGTTGCAGAATGCGAAGTCTGTGGTTTATCATTGTAATCAGCTTCTTACCGAATACAGAAGGTAAGATCCAACTTAAATTTTGTTTTTTAAATCCAGAAGAACTTGAGGTATACAACCTTCCTTATGTGGAAGTAGCTAGAATATTCATTTATTATTTTAAAAATAGATGTTAAAATGATTTTCTGAATATTGAATTCCTTATTAGGTGGTTGAGTTCTTTTGATTACACAGATATGGTATAGAAAGTGCTAGATATATGAATTTATATTTTAAATACATTTGTGAAATATAACCATTCTAAATAATTCTGAGGGAACTAAATGAAAGATCTGTTTTGGTATATATTTTACATTTATTAACTATGTTTATTTTAGTAAAATGGAAGATATTTTGTGGAAACTGTTTCATCTTTAGTTACATCTTTATTTGCTTAAGTGTGGGCATAATTGTAAAACTCCTAAATTAAAACTTTTAGTCTTTTACAAAAACTTGCTCTTTAATAATAGTTCAATTTTTTATGTTGTCTGTATCTTTAGCTATATATATGCACGTATATATATAATCTTTATAATAATGTTAAATTTATAGAAATATAAACTGTTGTAGTTAAAAATAGATGAGAAATTTTTCTTAAGCACTATTGCATTAAATTTTTTTTTTTTAAATCTAGAAATAGTAATGAGTGTAGTTTTCAATTCAGACCTGATTTGTAAAAAAGTAAATATACTTTTGAAGCCTAATGAAATAATTGGAACCATCATTTATTAACTACTGTATAGATTTCTGGTATCCATTGTTTTCTTAGTCTTAAATATTTCCATATGAAAACAATACACATCCAGGTGTTTTTTTAGAGCAGGCTAGAAGTTATTATGGAGCTAAGATGTATAAATTTTATAGCTAATTGATGGTGGCAGTTATTGGCATGAAAATGTATTAATCTTGTAAAATTTGTGAAGGGCATAAAATCTCTAAGAAATGCATGTAAAATATAATGGATTTTAAAAAATTCCTATTAAATATTCTTGAAAAAATGTTTTAAGAATTTAAAAATTGATTTTATATGTACTTTCAAGTGATCTCATTTATACCTATTATTAAAATGATAGAGAAGGGGGGCACTCTGTCAACTAATAGAAGCATATTATTCTACTGTCTTTGTAATAAGCTTCAAAATGTTAACATTTTAATTTTGCTGAATTTTACTTGAATTCCTTGTCCAAAGTTGTATTTTATTATGTTCTTCTTGTCTCTCCAGTCGTCTGCATTCAATATATTGATATAATGTAACATAATTTAAATAACTAATATAGAAATACCTAAAATAATAATTTCTGTATTCAGAAAGTAAATAGTGTTCACTTGGATTTAAGTCACACTTGGCAGTTACAATCTTTGGGTTAATATTTTATTTTCAGATGACATTGCTCTTTGCTTTAGAGTTGAACATACATCATATCTAACATGATATGTAGTATGTCTGAATGAATAATAAGATAGTGATAAACAGTGAACAGGAATTGTGTTTAATCATACAAATTTCCAGCTTGGATTGTTGTGAAAATCTTGTGTGTAGTTTGATTATTTTGCGTCTGATTTTTTGGGGAAAAAAAAAAACCTAACTGAATTCCTGCTGTTATGTTTGAATGTTTTTATACATTTAAAAAAGATTCCAGGTGTGGGCCAATGGCTCATTAGTCCACATAATGAAAAAATTTCCAATCAAGTTAAAGACCACTTTGCTTGCACAGTAGTTTAACTCAGTGGGCGGTGGGGGGAGGTGGGGTAGCAAACAGAGACTTTTTAAATGAGATACTGCAGCTTTATTTTCAGTGTCATATATCAGGTCAGTATTCATATCTGCTCTTAGGAGAAATTTCATTTTTGGTGCATCAGGCCAGAGGGTATTGCTTCTGAAGCACTTTCCTCCTACCGGTAAAAAGAACCTGGGATGAACCCATATGGCTTATTGTAAGAGTATCACAGTTTATATACACTGTTAGAACATTTATCCAGCATCGCATGGATTTCTCTTAGAAAGTTTTACATGACATGATAGTCCTTTATTGTCAGAAAGCAGATAATACTCTGTGAACACCTATAGAGAAAGCCAATCAATGTTAGGTAAGAAGGCATAGGAAGGCATATATAAATTTAACCATTCAGCCACTGTGTTTTTTTCTGGGTCCTTACATGATTGTAACCTTTAACATCTTATAGAGATTAGTTCTTTTTGTACCATTTTCTAGGTTCTTGCAGATAAACTCAAGTAAGTTTTCCTAGGTGGTTTCTTCCCTCTTTCCTTGATTACTGAGTGATTAAATTGAGCTGCATGCTCAGGATTCAAAAATACACAAGGAAAAAATAATGCACAAGACACAGTTCTTTTTTTGTTTTATTTTTTGTTTTTCTGTGAGTTATTGGGGGACAGGTAGTATTTGGTTACATGAGTGAGTTTTTTGGTGATTTGTGAGATCCTGGTGCAACCATTACCTGAGCAGTAAGCACTGTACCGTATATGTTGTCTTTTATCCCTTGCCCCCTCCCAGTCTTCTCCCCAAGTCCCTAAAGTTCATTGTATCACTCTTAACGCCTTTTTGTCCTCATACCTTAGAACTAACATGTCAGTGAGAACATGGGAAGTTTGGTTTTCCATTCCTGAGTTACTTCACTTAGAATAGCAGCCTCTAGTCTTATCCAGGTCATTGCAAATGCTGCTAATTCACTCCTTGGTATGGCTCAGTAGTATTCGATGTGTGTGTGTGTGTGTGTGTGTGTGTGTGTGTGTGTGTGTGTGTTATTTATATATAAATAACACACACACACACACACACACACACACACACACCCACAGTTTCTTTGTCCACTCATTGATTGATGGGCATTTGGGTTGGTTCCACAATTTTGCAATTGTGAATTGTGCTGCTATAAACATGTGTGAAAGCACAGTTCTTACTCTTGAGAAGCTCATGGTCTTGTGCAGGGATTGAAATCTTAAATACCTGTTGGTGCCTTGAGGACCTGTGATTACCATTCTAGTAGTTTGCTTGGTCTTTCCAGTTTTTCTGACTTTCAGTAGAAACCAAACATTAGGATTTTAAAGTAATAGCAACTAATTAAGATTTTGTTTAAAAAATAAAAGCATGTATATAGTAGAATAGCCATGGGATATGCCTTTTTTTTAGACTTTTTTCCCCCTCCTGTTTACAGTTGTATTTTACCTTGGTATGTGATTTTAAAGGCTTCACATAATTTTGGATTTGCTTTACATCTGTACATAATGAAACGTACATTTCCAAATTCATAAGGACTTTCTGTGTTCAGGCAAACATTGTAAATGTAGGATTTTGTATACAAATAAAAGAGCAAATCACTAAGAATTTTTAAAGTTTTAACATGGTAAAAGCTAATTATACAAAGCTTTAATTGTTTTATCTGCTTTCTGTATCTATCTTGAATCAAGTCTTACCCATTAAAATTTACCTGTTTTTTAAAAATAGAATTAATATTTTATATATTCTTTAAGCCTTTCCTAGTGTATTTTTTAACATTATGTTTAGAACTTCCAAATAAAAATGATTTTATACAGACCAAACTTTCAAAATATTTTGTAAATTTTTCTTATAATTGATTTTCTTTCTAGAGAACCAATCTCAAATTCTTTAAAATTCTGTTTTGTTGAAAGACTGGTATGCGTTGATTCTTTTGGCCAATTTTTATAAGCATAGTCAGTAAGTAGAAAGTAAATTGAATTTCTGTGTCCTAGATAATTAAATTATGCTATATAATGGAGACTTGGCAAGCGTAAGTCAGACATACGAAGTCTTGCTCAAGTGACAAGTTACAAATAATAGTACTACTTCAGCAAAATCGGTAATGTAGGTTTCAGGTTGAATTCTTTATGCAGTGAATATGTAATTAGATTTTATTAGTCAAAATTTTACTTAATTACCTCAAATTACATTGTTGGTTATCCTTACTTCAAAGAAAAATTTTACACCAGGTACAAATGTGAGATATGCCAGAAACAGCTTTACGTATTTAGTTTATATAAATCCAGAAAATATAATAATACAGTTGTAGAGATAGTTTCTTGCCAGTTTTCACTCTGCTTTTAAGTTCCCTAAGTACATTTTATAATGACTTGAGTTAATGTTACCTCTCTGAAAAATACATGTCTGGGGCTGTGCGCAGTGGCTCACCCCTGTAATCCCAGCACTTTGGGAGGCCAAGGCCAGAGGATCACCTGAGGTCAGGAGTTCCAGACTAGTCTGACCAACATGGAGAAACCCCCTCTCTACTAAAAATACAAAATTAGTTGTGGGTTGTGGGGCATGCCTGTAATCCCAGCTACTTGGGAGGCTGAAGCAGAAGAATTGCTTGAACCCGGGAAGTGGAGGTTGCGGTGAGCCAAGATCACACCATTGTACTCGCCTGGGCAACAAGAGTGAAACTCTGTCTCAAAAAAAATATGTATCTATGGAGTCTTTTTCCTATTTGGGTAGAAGAAAAGGCAGACTTAGGTGTTAAATATGAAATAGTGAAAACCGTTTCTGGCATATAGGTATTTCCTTCAGAATAGTCTGAATTTGGTAGAAGGATTAGTAACTTTATTCTCCAAGGTTTAATTTAAGAAAGATTAAAATAATTCAGATTACTGTATTCATTTCTCCTTTTACCTTTCATTCTTTGATTTACACACACACATAACAAAATCTGTACATATATACACATACTTGTATATATGTGCATGTACACAAACCGCGCGCGCGCGCAGCGCACACACACACACACACACACACACACAGAGTACGCCAGCTTCACAAGGCCAGGGATATTTTGTTGTTGTTCATTGATGTCTTCAAGTGTCTAAACAATGCCTGGCTTATAGTAAGCACTCAATCCATAGCCAGCACATAAACAGAATAAATCTTTGAATAGGTTCATAGTCTGTATAATGAGGGAAAGGACAATGAGCAGTTGTAATAAGAGTGTGATAAGTGCCATAATAATGATATTCACAGAGGCACTGGGATGAGCAGTAGTTGGATGGTTGGATG